AATTCACTTTCATTTTTTATGTAAAGTTACTAAAACCATTTGGTCAACACATTATCATCAATTTTGTGACGTAAACCAGGCTATTGTGACGTCTACTTCTCTCGGGAGTTTTCTTTAAACGAACGATAATTATTGCGGGAAAATGCACTAAGTATCCGAAGAGGTGGAATATGATGAAAAGCATGCCGACGGCCGTGAAATATGAAGTTTTACGGCCCGATCACGTGATAACCTAGAACCAATCAGATAACGCCTTGTGTAGAATATTTATAATGAGGTATAATAATATACATTGTCCCATGAAGTTATAATGACAATATCAAAACTTTCCCGTCAGATGTGAGTTTTTTTTTCTAATTTTTTACAAATTATAAATTGAATGTTAAAATCTTAGTATATTCAAATATATTTTTTTAGTTTGAACAAAGATATACTAGTACGAGAGAATTGTTTTTGTTTTATTTTGATTGTGAACACATGAGTTGTGGGGTTAAAGTTGTCAAGCATGTAGTTCAATAGAACACAACTATTTACTGGATTCCACTATTATTCTATGGAATGACACTCTGACGACTTTGATTAATCGAAGTATTGAAAGTTCTGAAAACCGGGCTTTAATTGCGCGAGTATATTTTCTGATCTGAAATTAGTACATATTATTTTGTTTTTTTCCTTTTGGCCATTGATTTTTAAGGTGTAGAGTTTGCATGATGATGATTTAAAACAATATCCCAGTATTTAGAATTAACAATCCAGACCCCGAGATATTATATGATTTTAAAATTTAGTAATACATGTATTTCCAAGAATTTATCGCATAGTTTCTATTCATTAAGCATCTTTTTTCTCATAATTTAAAAATGCAGTCTTTGAATAGTTAAAATAACGCACATGTGTATCCTATAGACATTCTTTTAGTTTCAAACAATTAGTACTTTTATCGCCAACTACATGTAGAAACACTGATACATGAACGTTGTCAAGAAACTTTACGCATGCAAATTCTTAAAATTTCAATTCACTATACTATTAATTTGCTAAAAATCAAAACAGAATATAACCACTAACATAACATCGACGAAAATGATATGCAACATTTCGAAAAGCCCGCGCTATGGAAAATAGTTCGCTTACAATATGTGTGCACAAATTGTTATATCACGGTTATCCCAATAAAGCAAATATCTTATTTCTCTTTTAGTTTGATTCTCAAGCAAAAATATTGACCATTAACTGTTCAAGTGATTGGGATGTTAAAAATATTTGTTTGAATATCGTCTCGCAATTGACGGGACTATTTTGTTTATCGGAAGCATCTGCTTTGTTACTGTATGGTTTTTTGTTTACTGTGCTATTTATAGTAAGATAGTCGATCATGATGCCTATAGCCAGAACTTTGCTTTCAGCAAAGCCCGGCTAAAAAGCTTGTATCACAACAAAATAATTGTTAAAACACAGCAACCAGGTGAATTGCCTATATATTGTTCTCTGGACAGAGAATAATGAAAAATCTACGGTATACTGTAGGTGAATTCAGTCGCACAATACCGCGATTCAACCACGCCCACATTTGCTTCAAATGAATCTGCATTACAAACTCAGAAATAGCGCTAGTATGTACATTGTATAAGACTGACAGAACAAACTTCCGATAATAGTTTTAGAATTTTTTGTCTGTTAAATAAATTCAATAGCAATAATGCATTAATTGATGTTCAATTAAAAAAGATCCTCTTCATGTCTTCTTACATCTTCCATCTGCATTACATATATTCAATTTACATTATATTGCCGCTATGTCTCAAATGAGATTTCATATTACATCCTGTATATCTATCATTTCTATAACATGTCCTTTATCTAAAAATAAATAATAAATTGAAAACAATACTACCTTGGGATCCTTTAAATTCTGAGGCAAGCTAAACATGCTAAATTCTATTGGTTCGTTGGGCGTAATCCCGTGCGTAACCCGCAGATTTAATGAATAAATAAGTTGACAAAATTAATGTTGATAGAGATGTAAAACCGTGGATAACAATTACCCAAGAAATTAATGAATCCCCCCCCCTAAACATTGATGATTCCACAGTATAATATTAATTTCAAGGAAATAAAATGTCCGTCAAAACTCTGATATTATATTAAAGCATTTTATAGTAAAAGGATTGCCCAAGAACAAAAAGTTCAAATTTTTAATTAACAAAGATTGCATTAATCTATTGAAAAGCATTTAACATAAAAATTCAAATAATTTGAATATCAAACATTTTTAAATATTAAAAATGAATGATAATTGAAAACAATTTTTTTACCAGCTAAATTTTTTTTGATTTTTTTTACATAAATCATGTGCTCTACAAAATTCAAGGTCATGAATTAGGACACATCCCACTAAACATACTCATAGTAATAAATGGGAAGTGTGTCTAAATAAACTGATTATTTAATGCCTACATATCTGTTATGTTTTCATTTTCATTGAAGTTGTTCCTATTAGGGATTGAAGACATTAATAAGGAAATAAAATAAAACAACATGTATCAAAACAAATCAAATATTTATCTGATTAATCTACTTGACATTTAGCATTAAGATATTTTGTTTTTATATTGAGATTTTTAAAAAAATTTTATTTTACATTATGAATTTGTTTTAATCAAATCTTATCTAGATAGAATTGAACTAGTTAAAATGTATATAAGGACAGATGATTAAAAAATGGATGCATGAATTGAACAATTTTGACTTATCCTGATTGCAAATGAGGCAATTCGTAAATTTTTCAGAAATTCAGTTTTTGAATTATATTCTAATATATCCTTAAATATGAACAAAATAAATTATTACGATCATCAATCATTTGTAACATTAATTAATTAAAAAACAGAAAAGATATAAAGTGTAGTATATTAAATCCAAATGCATTACATAATTTAACATTTGAATGCAAATATGAATGTTATAACATAACGAGAGGTGTCCCAGCAAATTGCGCACTTTTTAACTACTTGACATAATTTATCATTTTTTTGTACAATGATAAGAAATGATATGCATTTAATTGTGCTAAACATAGGTGGTCGGCGAAGTATTTATAATTCCAAAAGTTGTTGCACTTAATAAATGCACGTTTGGTTTTGCTCTTTTAACTGTCAGAATCCTATTCAAGTCGTTGGTTCTGTTTTAACAACTCGATCAACATAATTATGAAATTTGTCGAATAGTTTTGAAGTGTTTGAGAATACTAAATGTTTATGATAGCCGGACAAATGACCAAGATAAAGTTGAATCATTGGTATCTTCCGTGGGATATTATTCATGTTAATACGAGGGTTGTCCGTAAAGTTTGTGGACTACATTGATAATTACTGTCAAATATTTAGATGATATGTGAAATGATTATTTTCAGTAAATTAATGTTTCTTGTTACAACTTCTTATATTTTCATCAGAAACAAAAACGAACCGGAGCACCAAGACGAAAACTCTTGACGTAACCTGACGTCAAACGCTTAATTCATGTAACTTTTCTCAACGGAGACACCGTTTAATTTAACACTTCTCTTATGTCGCTTTAACCAGTCATCAAAAATGTGTACGCTGTGTTCTGGTTTCATACCTGTAATAATATTAAACACATCTTGTATTAGATCCTGCAAATCTTCAAACCTCTCACCGCACAAAGGTGACTTTATGTAAGGAAATACAGCAAAGTCACGTTATGAACTTCATATTTTACAGCACTGAATTCACAGAAAGATTGTCCCCTTTTACGCATAACATGGTGTACATGTAAAATGTCCCTTTCGTTCGAAAATCATCTGTGTCATTTAAATACAAAAGAGCGGATATCATTACTATTTCTTCCGACTGTTTAAGGAATTTGTCTCTGACTGTGTTTTTTCCGATGTCTTCACAAAATGTTCTCTGCTCCATCTTTTCCCAAAATGTCCCTTTTTCGAAGAATGACGATCTTGTTGTATTACATTCAACATTATTACTTTTGTCAATCTCAATGAGAAAGCCATTGAAATTTAGCTTGTCCGCGATCTTTATGGACGTCTCGCACGTCTTGCATTTATCGAAAAAAAAGTGACCTACATCTCAATTCGTGACTCCACTGTGCTGAGAATACAGTATACATCCCCATTCGTGAAAATGATTCCCCCATACTTTCTAGCGTCTCCGATCCCCCGTGTTACCCGTAGTACACGGTGTTCCTTGAATGGGGGATAGATAGCATGTTAAAGGGTTTTCTGAAAATTTTAAACTCAATACGTTCGGTAGAGCGCTTGCTCTCTGATTAGAAAGTCAAGCCGCAACTTACCTAAGTTGATAAAACGCCTAGCACTTTGAAGGAAAAGTTGTAGATCTTTTGAATGATACCTCAAAAATCGAGGCCCCCAAAAAAGCGGTGTTGGCCATCCGAACGGGACAGGTCCAATCATACAATAATGGTTTAATATGGATGAAATGACATCAAACACGATACATTTATTCAAACAAATAAAAATTATTAGAATATATTTAGTTCTTTGATTTCTAATTGGTGTTTACGATTTTTCAACGATGTGTTAAGTTTTAGTGACACTACAAGAATAGGAAAATCACTGTTATTTGATGAAATGAGGACAATTTTTTTTCATGACGTTGTTATAAATCTAGCGCCGTCGGACTATATACGAGGTGTACCGGTATATACATGTATTGATGGCGCTCCTAAATTATTGTGTTTATTGTTTTAACTTAAAAAATTAAATCAATGATGGAAAGAATCTTAATATTATTGCACACAATTAGCAGTGTGGCAAAATTAAAAATAAATAACGTGATAAAAATTCAAAATCCATATTTTTGACGTTATCATGAAATTGACGTTACGTCAGATTGGCCGGTGCGGCTTGCACATACAAAGTATTTATGTCTTTAATGTTCGTAATATAAAGTGCTTTTGATTTTATTCTATTTTATTCTGATTTTATTATATGAAATTATCCTCAGCGGTCTTTCTAAAAATGGGAAAGGTATTAGCTGTGTTAGTGTTCATTTGCTTTCTGCTAAGCATTATTCACGGTAAGAATTTCGTTAATATCGCTTTTATGTTAAGTCAACATAAATTGAAGGACAAACAATGCTTGCAAAACACTTTTTAAAGAAGTCATGAAAATTACAACAAAGATATGTTAACGAAATGACATCAATAGACGTACACGAATAATTTCTTATTTGCCATTCAAGTTTTAAGAAAAAATTAATTTAGAGTGTTAGAATATTGCCGTATAACCTCCAATTTCGAGTATTGTCCCAAATATAAAAGCCAAGCATGTAGGTACATGTCCATTATTACGTTATCACTAAAATCAATGAGTGCAAATGTTGTAGGGAGTTCTATGAAACAGGTCCTTTTAACCAGGGACCTATATATAAACATATAGGTCCCTGGTTTAAAAGAGACATCTTTCGGCTGCTTTATGCAAAACACGTTGTCAGGACCGCAGAAGGAGACAAATCTATACATGGTCATAAAATATCTTAGAATCTAAGGTGAAATAGTGATTTTATGTTTTCAGGATTGATATATTTAATATCTTTTTTTTTCTATGACGTTCTTGATAGATTGGGAAAAAAAACCTTGTGATATCTTTTTGATCTATGGTAGAATTCACAATAATGTACTAAAAAGTGGTAGCCCTACAAGGTAGAGGACAGAAAGTGTAATTTAAAAATTCATACAAAATTTCGTTTTTTAAATAACAAAAATTTGTAAAAATTAAAATTATGAAATCGATTTGGGGGGGGGGGGGTTATCAAATGAATGTATGATTTACAATCAAAATAGGTCCAAAAATTTTATTTAAATCAAGGCATCATTTTTTTTTTTTTAGATTTTATCCTTTTTTTGTACTTTCTGTAGTTTAATGATAAACTTAAAAACTTAAACTTAAAAAAACTTACTAAGAAAAAATTAAATTCATGAAAATTTCTAGAAACACATAGTGATTGCTCTGGATTGTGTAATTGGACCATCTTGCGCTGTGGCAGTGACGAATACTGCGACTTCAGATATCTATTTATGGGGCTTTGCTGTTCATGTAAGTATAAAACATGTAAAATGTTTGAAAATTAATCTCAATGCCAAATGAAAAATTTATTTATTGTATAACAGATTTATTTTCAAAAATTGTTTTAATGGCCTGTTTGCTTTTGGTTTTTTCTTGCTACATTGTATTATAATTTATCATATTTTATCAGATAGGAAATTTATCAGTAAATCTAACTTTATACTAAATTATTGTTAATAAAAATATGCATGTATCAAAGAAGCTTTATATTATATTTCAGAGAATTAGCACAATTGGGAAGATATGATGCAAATGAATGAGATGAGAAGACACAAAAAGAGCTTTTTTTTCATTGATTTTGCATTAATAAATCTCTTTAATTGTGCTAATGGGAAAAAAAATCTTGAGCAGACAAAATAAATTCTGAAACTATAATCAAAAGCTTGTTCTGTAAATAAAATACACACTACTGCTGTGGTTGGGTTTTTACAGCGCTGTGGTTGGGTTTTTACAGCAAATTCATAGGAAGTGAATGGTCGTATGATTGCATTTTACCATTATGTGACTGAAATTCAGCTAGAGTACAGTATCTTAGATTTTTCATTATTCTAGTTCTCATTTGGCAATTGTTCTAGTAGTGTGTATCAACAATAATTTGATTTTTCTATTGCTACTCATAATGCCATGTTTACTGAATAATCGTTGTTTGCTACTTTTATTTGCATCCTGTGATTTCGAGAATATCAGAAGAAATCCTATTTTAGAATTGTCCGCCATATTTTTTCGATCTCTCGCTATATCCGTGGGTCCCTATAAATAGAGCCGATCACTTGGTCACTGTTCATTGAAATGAATTGTCACCAGTGTACACGGACGTCTGCAATACAAAACTCAGTAGGGGAAAAAATAACTGTGCTTCTTCCAATGAGAATAGTCAGATATCAAAGACAATTACAACAGTTGCACAGGTCAGTGTAGTATACAAACAAACATAAATATGCGTTACTTCGAGAAAACGTAAACAAAGATAACACAGGTATAACCAGAATGAGCATGGGTCTCCATCCCCCGCCGATACCAGCGACAATAAAACAGTCAGGTGTAAGGAATGCTAAGAATATACTCCGATATGAAATCGTAGAAAGTGTTATATTTGCATGGCGTAGTCCTATTTCCGAGTCGTGTTCATCTTTAAGAATGATTTGACAATGTTTACTATGTTTATCATTTTAAAAGCTGAAATCGTTCTTAAGTGTACATTTACTCAGATGACAAAAACATTTCACTGATAAAAACGAAAAAAAAAACACCTACTGCACATTGTACAGCTTTGATTCTTTGTTAGATTTCAATTGAAAATAACTAGGTCAATGACCTACTTTTCATGCTAATGGCCCCTGAGTATTTCTGGGAAAATGCCTCATTTTTCAACACTATAGTCAGTTTTTCCTTTACACACAAAAAATTACAAGCAACAAAACTCTTAAAACTAATGGAGTGTTATAGGAAGGATATGGAGATACCGAAAAGTATTCATTATCAAAGTCCATAAAACAATACAAAATAGGAGAAGAGCAAACCCAGACCTTCGAAAACTCAGAGGTGGGATCAGGTGCCATTAGGAGTGAGCATCCCTTGCTGACCGGTAAAACCAGCCGTGTGCTTTTTGTCATGATCGGTAAATAATGGAAAAAATAAGTCGTCAATTCTGTGTATAAATAATGGAGTAACAAACAGTATGAAAAACGTCAGTCAGCATGTGACTCAATGATAAATTGTATTTGTTGTCAAGATCATTGTATCAACCATAGCACTTACGAAATGATGACTTTAAACGAGACTGCTGATATTCTTGTTTCATCAACTTGCTTGTCATTTATTTACTTCGTTTTAGAAATTGTTTATTCGTAGAGCAAACTCTTGTTTATCGAATCAACTGAGATTTATATACTCCGTATGCTGGTGATGAAGGTATATTGTTGCATATGTAAGGGAAGTTGACGATAGAAAAGTTTAAGTCATCACGTTTATCATATATAACTTGGTTGTGAGATTACCATTAACGTCCTTTTCAAGCAAAATATCCAAGTATGAAACAGATGTGTCAGACTCTGTGGCATATTTTATCTCAAGTTCATTAGGATATATCGTATCGACGTAGGAATGGAAATTATCATTGTTAATTGACAATACGTCGTCGATATATCTAAATGTCAAGATGAAGGCCACAGCAAGTGTTTTCCTCTTTTCACGCATAAGATTTTGCACAAATTCTGCTTCATATGAATATAAAAAAAGGTCTGCTAATAACGGAGCGCAATTGGTACCCATGGGAATTCCAATAGATTGTTGGAATACCTAGTCTCCAAAAACCACATAGATATTGTCAATCAGAAACTCAAGCTTCTCTTTGATGCCAACTTCAGAGTACTTGTGGGTGCAATCAGAATGTATTTTAACAAAATAAGGCCCAATGACCAGGTTAGTATACCTACGAGTTCCATTTTTTTTTTGAAAAGGCAGCTGTCAATGATATAAAAAGCCTGAACTTGAATTTATTGTGGGGAATGGTTGTTTATAAAGGGCACAGCGTTGCTTCATATAAATAAGTGATTAGAGTTTGGGCCATAAACTTTGTTAATTATTACAATCCGTAATTTTTCTGTCATATTTCTAATTTTTTTTCTCCATTTTTAATCGAATATTATAAAAATCTGAGTAATAAAAACTCTAAATCATTTATAGCCTCAGGTTCCTTTTGTTACCCTTTTTCTAATGCTATTTATATTATATGAAGCCAGTGATCAAATTATTGAGATATGTTGTCTGAAATGGTTTTTGTTCATATTTTTGAATTTTTTTATTACATAGCATTCAATTATTTGAAATAATTCATGAGCTTTTATTTACATAATATTTGCAAAATTATGTTTTGAAACACATTTAACTTTTACATTGTAATAAATATTGCAAGAAATAATTTATTTGATAAAAATTAAAAACTAAAAATTTAGTACGAATTTCCTCTGCATAACCATTATAATGACTTCGTGCCTGTTTATTTTCTGTAAAAAAAAAAATAAGATATTAATTATTCTAATTGATTTTGAGTGAAAACTTAGTAATTTCGTCCATTTAGAACAATTTTTGATTTTACATATTATAGTTTATATAATTTCATGTCTGACTTCTGAAACCTGAGTAAAAGTTATCCTTAAAATAGACATACTATTACAGAATATTCGCTTTGTCTTAACGTTAAACAACCTTATGGAAATAATTATCGTTCTTTGAAAAAATATGCGTAAATAAGAACAGAAAAAATAAAAATATAGCATTTCTTGTTCATTTGTAAAAAATGTGTTTTTTTTTTTTTTTTTTTTTTTTTTTTTTTTTTTTTTTTTTACATATCTTGACCAAACTTAAGTTTTTAAAAATTTAATCAGAAATTTTAATCTTTTTCGAAATTCTTTTCTTCCAGTGACAATAATTAAAGAAATAAGACTCCTTTTCACTACATTTTGTAAAACACATTACATTAGTGTAGTAGCTTGTATTTTTTGGAGTACGTGTGAGATCGAGACGAATTGCACTCACAGCAGAAGATGTTGTGTTTATAGTCCTATGAACGCAAGCCAACAGATGAGTGCAGGTACAAGGTACATGTACATAGTCACAGTGGTAGAAAAGTTAGAGTATGTAAACTGAAATTACTTTCATATTAATGTTGCAGTAGGCTAAGTAGAAAAACATAGAAAAATAAATAGATAAATAAATAGATAAATAAATAAATAAAGAGATTTTTAGTTGAATGTGAATGTGTAAATAACACAGACTTGCACCTTAGCATATTTTCTCTAAAGCGCTCGAGCTTTCTAAAAAATACTTACATGCGTGATTTACACACCGATAACTCACACAAAACGTAAAAAAAATTCTATCCTTAAACATTTTAAATAAACACGCATTTTGAGAGTATTACATCAGCAATACTAGTTCCCTTTTTATAACCTAAACTTTGCTGCGGACTGTCGAAGCTTGATCTTCATTGACGAAGTACCATTTTAAAAAGCGATACTGGTTATCTTAAGAAAAGTATCTGTGTATGATACATTGTAAAAGCAAGTTTTTCTTTGTTATTAGTCTATAGGACAATTAAATGTCAAAAATAAACTTACATAAACAGACTATTATTTGGTGTACCCCTGTTTTAATTCATTTATTAAACGTCATTAATGACAAATTTACATGTATGACGATATGTGTCAAAGCGCTTTAAGGTTTGTCTCTCGTGAAATTTGTTAAATCAAGGATTTTTTGAGAAGTACATGTATATTTTGAATAAGTACTCATACTGTGACTCAAAATCGCAGAGAAAATAGCGGGTCAGTGTGCATCTTGCTGATCTACGGTATAATTAAGTTGACGTTTTTGCACTTAAACTTTAACTCTTTGGTAAAATACTTTAACCTTTATTAGCTCACCTGAGCTGAAAGCTCAAGTGAGCTTTTCTGATCACATTTTGTCCGGCGTCCGTCTGTCTGTCCGTCCGTCTGTTTGTCTAGCTGTCCGTCTGTCTGTAAACTTTTCACATTTTCGACTTCTTCTCAAGAACCGCTGAGCCAATTTCAACCAAACTTGCCACAAAGTATCCTTGGGTGAAGGGGATTCAAGTTTGTTCAAATGAAGGGGCCACGCCCTTTTCCAAGTGGAGATAATCATGAATTTGTTAAAAATTAATGGCATTTTTAAAAAATCTTCTTCTCCAGAACCACTTGGCCAGGAAAGATGAAACTCATGTGGAATCATCCTCAGGTAGTGTAGATTCAAGTTTGTTCAAATCATGACCCCCGGGGCAAGGGTGGGGCCAAAATGGCCGACCCAAGTTTTACATAGGAATATATAGGAAAAATCTTTAAAAATCTTCTTCTCCAGAACCACTGGGCCAGGAAAGATGAAACTCATGTGGAAGCATCCTCAGGTAGTGTAGATTCAAGTTTGTTCAAATCATGACCCCAGGGGCAAGGGTGGGGCCAAAATGGCCGACCCAAGTTTTACATAGGAATATATAAGAAAAATCTTAAAAAATCTTCTTCTCCAGAACCACAGGGCCAGGAAAGATGAAACTCATGTGGAATCTTCCTCAGGTAGTTTAGATTCAAGTTTGTTCAAATCATGATCCCCGGGGCAAGGGTGGGGCCAAAATGGCCGACCCAAGTTTTACATAGGAATATATAGGAAAAGTCTTTAAAAATCTTCTCCAGAACCACTGGGCCAGGAAAGATGAAACTCATGTGGAATCATCCTCAGGTAGTGTAGATTCAAGTTTGTTCAAATCATGACCCCCGGGGCAAGGGTGGGGCCAAAATGGCCGACCCAAGTTTTACATAGGAATATATAGGAAAAATCTTTAAAAATCTT